TTTGTTCTCCAATTCCTTAAAGCCGGTCAGTCACCATCAAAGCACGTTCAAGTGTCAGGAGACATTCATACACCTGTTCTTTAAATCACAGCCCCATTACTCCCTACAAAATCTCAAACCTAGAGTGTTTTGCAATTCACACCCATACTTTCGTTTAGACTTGCTAGCCCCTTTGTGCCACTGCTGCCCAATTAAGACTTTTGCTGCAGAACCTCCTACCATAGAATTTTTGTGGGGTTGGTATGTAAAGAGAAAGAGCCAACAACTTACCCTCTCTGTGCTAGAGCACCATTTAATCCCCTTCTGCCCATGCCATAAACCCTAGTGTGCAAGACTACAAATGAAAGCTGTGCATCTTTTCATCAGCAAAGGCTTAAGCCAATTCCACAGAAAGTAGAGGTGGCGGGCAAGAGTTTTGTTTTGCCACAGCTACCCTGTCAAATTCAAACACCCCATCCACGTCTAAATTGTGGCTTAACAAACTCATGCAGCTCCCTCCCTTTTTAGTCTCAGCATCTGCTTTCTTCGAACAGAAAGAATAAATCCTGCTGGGTCTAATTGCATGTAGCTGCCCAGCACACAGAGTGCTCTGGTGCGTACCATTATTGTTCCAATGCATAACATTTTCCTCTGGGAGCCCAGCAGGAACAAGGTAAGATGAATCACTTCAGTGAAATTTAAGCTGATTAGGTATGAAAACTCTAGGTCACCCGTGCCCTCCCATAAATGTGATTGAAAGCCCAACGATGGCCCCCACTACAAATATTTAAGCTAAAATTAATACGCTGTTGCCCTTCTCAACACACGTTACTTCTCAGCTAAAAAAGTTTCAAATAAAGAATCCATTCAACACTTCAAAACACCGTTCTCCTGTTCCTTAAAACCCACATAATTTGGGAAAGAGTTTTTCCTCTCTCCACAACCATTTCTGTTATACAAGTCTAACCATCACCATCTATGGTGGCTTAATCCTGATTTTTCAATATCAAGGCTTGTTTCCACTTCCCATATTTGCAGATGGAGATCTATGAAGATTTCCCATTCATTCAACACTTCAAAACACCGTTCTCCTGTTCCTTAAAACCCACATAATTTGGGAAAGAGTTTTTCCTCTCTCCACAACCATTTCTGTTATACAAGTCTAACCATCACCATCTATGGTGGCTTAATCCTGATTTTTCAATATCAAGGCTTGTTTCCACTTCCCATATTTGCACATGGAGATCTATGAAGATTTCCCATCCCCACCCCAAAAAAAATGCTGCTACAGGAAATTATAGTGAGACTGGCCTCTTGACATGTATGAACAAATTATAATCAGTAAGAGTATAGCTTTGAAAATAGAGCCATCTATGACTGAGGCGGCATGTGGAAAATGAAAAATTGAAGCCTCAGACATAAATTGGGGAAATGAAACAGGATAATCGGCAGAATCTTTCAGGTTACTACAGAAACAGCCTGTTACCTAAACCCCACTCCATACAGACCCCACCTGTATTTTTGTCCCAGTTTCCTACTGAGATTTTGTTTGAGTTCTACTTTAAAATTGTTTTCCCAACTTGAATTGCCATTTGTAAATTACCTTGGAAAGCTTTTGCCCCAAAATGCAGCATAAGGGTTTTATACAAACATACAGTTAGCTAGCTTTGTATTTTCTGAAAGCATATGTTACAGAACAGCTGACAAAATTGTTATCAAGCCAGGCACTCCAGAAACACACCACAGCTGTTGCAATAAAATGAGAGCCCAAAATGGTCTATTGCCTTCTTTTAGGATTTCAGACCGTGACAGGACACTTTCAGCCATGAGACAGATGATGGCATTTTGAGACCAACTGACAAGAGAACCCATCAGGCTGAATTTCTCCCTCTTTCTCATGAAAATCTCTTCCTTAACTTCAGGCTGTTGGTTTGCTCCGCTTCTTTTCATGTGCTTGGTTGATAATATCATAGTAGGACTGAGTTGGCCCTTTTGATTGCAACTGGCTAGCCAGGAATGTGTTAATAAGAAAAAATATGGTATTTAAAAAATTGAATGTCCAGGAGCAAAGTTTGTGATTTTAAATAACTGAAGTAGGAGTGTCAAGGAGGCAGGTTTGCCATCTCATAAAGACTTCCATGTATGAATATTATAGCTCAGCATTTAGAAAATAAGCCCTGAAGTGTTCAAGTGTTCCCATCCAAACAAGACATTTCAACTATATTTAGACACTTTACACACTGTCTAGTACATATACCCTTCCAAAACAAACTATTCTGTGAAGGTGTTGCTAATGTAACAATAGATAACCTAGGAATGTAATGCAGGAAAGAAAATTTATGAGAGGCTATAATTATGTATGGAACTATTGACATGAGACTAGGGATTTGTATTCTAGAATTTTAGAGTTGAAGGAGCCAGAAGTGTCATTGAGTACAAACCCATGCCAATACAGGAGATCCACAGGTAAAGTATCCTTGGCAGATTGCCATCTAGCCTATGTAAAAACCTTCAGTGAAGGAGAGACCATCACCTTCTGTGCTAGTCTGGTTCCACCGTTGAACAGCTTGAATTGTCAGAAAGAATGTTTGGTCAAAATCTCCTTTTCTGTAATTTGAATTCATTAATGCATGCCCTACCCTTTGAAGCCACAGAAAACAAACTTCCTCCATCTTCTACATGGCAGGTCTTTGGATATTTAAGGATAGTTATTACATCAACACCAAATTGTTTCCTCTCCAGGCTAAACATACCAAGCTATCTTGATTGTTTCACATATCACTTGGTTTCTAGATCCTTTATCGTGTTGATCCCACCTTCTTGGTATCCCTCTTAAACTGACGTGCCCAGAATTGGACACAGTAGTCCACATGAGGTCTGGCCAAAGCAGAACAAAGTGATACTATTACTTCACTTGATCTGGACATTATATTTCTGTTGATACAATTCAATATTATATTTGCTTTTTCCCCTGCTGCCATATCACACTGTTGACACTTGATTAGCTTGTACTCTGTAGATCCTTTCCCCATATACTACCAGACCATCTGCCACTCATCCCATATCTGTGCATCTGATTTTACCTTTCCTATGACGAATTTTATATGCTTCCCTCTTGAACCCCGTTTTGCTTATTTTGACCCAGTTCTGCAATCTGTTAAAGTAATCTGCTTCTGCCTTCAGATACATTTGCAGTCCCTCCAAATTTGGTGTCAGCAGCAAACCTGATGAACACCCTCTTTATTCCTTTGTTCAAGCCATACGTAAAGAGGTTGAACAACTAGTGATCAGTGTAAGACAGTTCAGCACTCCAGCTCTTACAGGGATCACATAACTCCCTTGCTACAGCAACTCCACTGGCTGCTGATTCGTTTCCTGGCTGGTTCCGCCACCTTCACAGATGGGTTTGATGGGGACATGGGAGAGGGCCTTCTCTGTTGCTGCTCCCAGACTTTGGATCTCCCTCCCACGAGATG